ACAGGAGACGCCAAGCAGGAACACGGCTGTACCGAGGCAGGACAGCCACTGCTCAGCTCTTGCTTTCCAGAAGGACGGCTGCATCCCTGCATCACATTGCTCCACTCACCCTGGCAGTGGGGAAAAGAGCAAGAGCCATCTCTGCCGCACCGCACAGGGTCCCTTTGGAGGATGGAACATATCCCTGCCTGCAGCAGGATACCCAGGACGACACGACTCCAGCAGGGTAAAACTCCACGTGTTTCATTTATTTGAGGTGCTACATCACCTCCTAGGCACTGAGCTACAGGGCACCTCTGTGCTACATGAGACATCGACTGGGTCTACGACGACACAGCACTTACTGCTACACGCAGGGCACGGACGGGGCCAGCATGACCAGCGACTGTCCTACTGCCCCTGCTCCCTCTGTGCCACCAGCCACAGCCCTCCCACTAGGCAGGCTTTAACCCCAGGCTCTATTGCCACAGCACTGCAGGAGCCTAGAGGGGATTCCATGGCACAGTGAGACACCACGGCTGCTCCGGTGCCATGGGATGGTGACACTCCGGAGCCGGGTCACCCGCACGCACCGGTACACACCCTGTCCCCGTCTTCAGGCACTTGGTGCTCGGCCAGGGCTGGTCCCCAGGGCCTGGCTCAGGGTGCCTCACGCAGGCACAGAGCCTCGACGGCCCCGCTGGGGCCCTGAGCCACCCCACCGATGACGAAGAGCAGGCTGGGCGCCGGGCAGCTGGAGCAGGAGCAGCGGCCCGTGGGCATGGGTGGCAGCGGCTCCCACTTCTTCTGCGAGGGGCTGAACCCTTCCACCGAGTCCAGCGGGCAGGACTGGTTCCCTGCGGGACACAGAATGGCATCAGCGCTCCACAGTCATAACCCACACCCCTGGCTCTGCCTTTCATCCTTCACATGCCTTTGATGCCTCAGGCAGAGCCCCTGAGACCTGGGCTGTGTGGGCTCTGTGATCCCAAAGGCAATTAGCAAGGGCACAAGAGGATTAGCAGCATTTCCAACGGGATTGCTGCTGGCAACAACGCTGTACTGCTGGCTCTGCACCGGGGGATAAGGGAGGGCAGCTCCTGCAATGCCACGCCGCAGGGATCCAGCCAGCACCACTTGTCTTCCCCATCACATCCTCCTCCCCTGCAGCAGAAGGTCCAGCTCTGGATGGGTCTGGCAGCGCTCAGTGGGGATGCTGTGGCCAGCACCAGGCTCCCTCCTGCTGCATCCCACTGCTGACTGACAGCACTAACCTTTCCCCAGCTCTCAGGAGAGGGATGCAGTGCTGCAGCCCTGTGCAGCGGGGCTGAGCTGGTATGGGCTGTGTGAGCATGGTACGCTGCACATGAGCAGGGCCATCAGCTCAGTGCAGGCAGACTGCGTAGCAGCGCCCAGCACTTGGGGGCACAGGAGGGACACAGGGGATGCAGAGGGTGTTGCAGTACCCCTATGGTATACACAGCCAACCTGGCCATGAAGGTAACTGATGTGCCACAAAGGGAACATGGCCACGTGCCTGCCCCTGGCATTACCGAGGCCACCCACAGCCACCACTCTTCCTCCCAGGCAGCCAGCCACGAAGTCTGCTCTCTTCTCCCTCATGCGGATGCCACGGCTTGGCTTGCTCCATGCACCTGAGGGCGAGAGGGCGAGAGCATCACCCACTGGGGCTCCTCTGTGCACACGCACTGACGCCAGGGCACCCCTGGATCAGGGAGCACAGGGTACAACTCTTCATGGATGCAGAGGCTGATGTTCAAATCCCCAATGAACCACATCCCTTGGGCATGGACAGCCCTCACCAAGACACATGGAGGCACCCAGAACCACAGGGATTCCCCCCCCCCCAGCTCACCCTGCGCAGGATCAAACATTTCCACGGTGTTGACAAAGTGTGGACGGGAATAGAAGTTGTGTGGCCCCGGCTGCTGCAGCCCGCCCAGGCTGAAGACGACGCCGTCGGCCATGGTGCAGGCGGCGAAGGCACGGCGGCTCGGCACACTGGGGTACCGCGTCCAGCTCCTCGTCTCCAGGTCGAAGGCCTCGAAGGCAGTGACGGGCAGCTTGCCCTGCCGGCCCCCTGCGCACAGATGCTGCTGCCACTGCCCCGAGCTGGCACCATTGAGCAGGATGGGACCAACTGGATGCAGTGCAGGGATGGGAGGGCAGCACGGAGCCAGCCTGGGATGCACCAGGTCACCCCCTGCTCCAGGGAGGCAGCGGAGGGACACGGGGGGCACCTACCCAGAATAAAGATCTTGTTGCCTTGCAGGAAGGCAGAGGCCCCGTAGCAGGGGGTGGGCATGGAGGGCAGGGGCTGCCAGTGGTCCTTCGCCGGCTCATAGGCACGGACCAGTGCCTGGGGAGAGGTGTCTGCACCCATTCCCCCCAAGGCGTAGATGGTCCCATCTGCAAAAGAGGTGACAGTGAGGGTGGGGGGCTATAAGCAGCACCATGGGGCTGTGTGCCCCCCCCGTGCCCTCCAGTGCAGGCAGCATGGGTGCTGCTGAGCCCCATGGCTGGCTGCTGCTTTGGGGTGGCCAGGAAACAGTGAGTGTGGTCAGGCCTGAGCCCAGCCATGCCCTGACCCCACTGAGACCCTCCTGCTCCTCTCTGTGCCCCATCCATCAGTCCAAGAGCAGAGCACAAGGCCATCGGCTCTAATTATTCTCGGCAGTACCATCTCCCTGGAGACACCATGGCAACACAGCCATGCTGCCAAATCCTGCTCGGCTCCCACCGCTGCCCCACCGTCCCCTCTGCCCTGCCCACCCTGCTCACAGCATCCCCAGCCAGGGAGCAGACATGGGCACTGTGTATGAACACCAACCCCAGCTCCCGGGCTGTGCTCAGCGAAGTTTAGGCAGGATTCACAGTGTGTGCAATGCACAGAACACTGAGCCAGGCTGGAGCAGGGTGCTTGGCCTGCTCCCAGCCAGGGCAGCCGGGGCAGGCTCCTATGGCTGGAGATGCTGCGCATCACCTCCTGCACCAGGGCTGCCGAGGCAGGAGCGTAACCCTGCCATTAAGTGGCAAGTTTATTGCTGGGTGAAGGCCTCGTAGCGCATCCCAAGCAGCAGCAGGATCCAAATCCCACCCGAGCATCCCTGACGCCTGCATCCCCACCTCTCCAGACAGCTGTATCCGAGCCCCATCCCTCACCTCTCTGCACAGCTGAGATGCCCATGGAGGGCTGCGCCAGCGCCGCCTTCTTCTCCCACTTGCCCTCATCCACGTGGTAGCCCTCAACGGAGGCGAGGGGGCTCTGCGCCGCGTCCACACCACCCACCACCAGGATCTGCTTGCCCAGGGCGAGGGCAGCAGCGCCAGCCCTTGGCGTGGGCAGTGGTGGGAGCGTGGTCCAGCGCTGTGCGCTCAGGTCCAGCAGCTCGGCGGTGCCCAGGGCCCTGCCGCTGCCGCCGCAGCCGCCCAGCACGAAGAGCTGCCCATCGCGGTGCGCGGCGCTGCAGTACACGCGCCGGGTGGGCATGGAGGGGAACGTGGCCCACGCGAAGGCGCCCGCGCCCGCCGCCATGGGCCGGATCAGCCACACCGGGGGTCCCCGGGCCCTGGCCTTGCCGTGCCACCCATCCGGCCCGTGTACCACCCTGCTCCTGTGGGGAGAGCACCCGAGTCAGCACACAGGCACCCACGGGTCCCCCCGGCCCCGGTGAGACTGCTCCCCCGGTGATGAGACAGATCCATGCTTCCTGGGGCTCCCTGCTTGTCCGCTCTGGGCTCCTGCACCCTGGGGCTCCCTGCCTGTCCCCTTTTGGCTCCTGCTCTCTACAGCTCCCTGCCTGCACCCACCAAGTCTCCCCTGAGATCCCTGCCTGCACCCATCGAGTCTCTTGCTTCCCGAGGCTCCCTGCCTGCACTAACCAGGGCTCCCATTCCCTGAGCCCCTGCTCTCTGAGGTTCCTGCATCCCGGTCTCCATCGCTCCAGTGCACAGCCTGCACCCACCGGAGCTCTTGCTCCCCAAGGTTCCCGCACCCTGGTCTCCATCCCCCCGGGGTTCCCGGTGCACAGCCTGCACCCACAGGGGCTCCTGCTCCCCGGGGCTCCCGGTGCATGGCCCTTATCCCCCAGTGCTCCGGCTCCGCGGGGCTCCCGCTGCACAGCCCGGATCCCCCGACCCTCCCGCTCCCGCTGCGCATCCCGCACCCACCGGACGGCTGCTGCCCGCGGCTCCCGCTGCACCCCCGCACCCGGTGCCCGCCGCCGCTCTCACCTCCCGCCCGCTCCGCTCCTCTCCGCTCCGCGCCGCCGCCCGCACCGCTCCCGCCCGCTGCCGGTGGAGGCGGTGCCGAGCCCGCCCCGGCCCCCCCCCCCCGCCGCCGCCCGGCCCTCCCGGGGTGCTGCCGCTCTGCCGTGAGCCTGAGGAGCCGCAGGCACCCCGCGGTGCCGGCCGGTGCCACCCCAGCACCGGGCTCACGGAGCCGCCGTCCCTTCCTGAAGAGGACCCTGTGCCTGCCACCACCGCCAGGGATGGAGCAGGAGCTTGGTCCCACTCCGAGCACGTCCTTACTGGGGTCTCCGTGGCATCAGGAAGGTCCCAAACCCTCTATGGTCACTTTTGTCCCTACTCGGCTGAGCCCCGTGAATGAAGACAGCAGGAAAGGCACTTCCCACCCACAAGCACAGGCACAGCTGAGGCCAGGCAGGAAACTCACACCAGTAACGAGCTGAAAAGGTTTGCTTTAAAAACAGGCAGAAGGGACAGGGCCTGGATGGCTCTGCTGGGGAGGACACCACAGCACTCGGGTGTGCTGATGGCAACACCACCGTGCACCAGGCACAGGCGCAGCAGTGGAAATAGAGGTGTGAATGCTGCATGGATGTCGTGGTGGGATGGCCCTGCCAAGGAAAGGAGAGGCGTTTCCTCCAGGGATCCCATCACACAGGCTCCCAGGATGCTCGTGCTCAGGCACGGAGGCTTCTGGTAGGAAGATGTGGGTACATCACACATCGGAATGGGGTAGAGCTCCAAGAGCACAGCAGGAAGCAGGCGGTGTTCCAAGTCCAGAGCCCCTCACCCCTGTGAGGAGGCATCACCGTCCATCCCACTGCTGGCTCGGGGTGTTCTCCTCCCTGCAGGCCAGGTAACGCTCGTAGTTCTCCTCGCACCTCCTCACGCAGCGCAGGAAATAGTCCTGGTCAGCAATGGCCTGCAGCAGGTCGGTCTGCACCAGGCAAACATCATACAGCTCTGAGGTGGGAACGTGCCGCGGGCTGTGGCTGCCCTGCTCCGAGAACACCTGCAATGGGAGACAGCAGCTCTCAGAGGCACCTGCACCCTCCATGGGCAGCAGTGAGGGCTGTGCTTGCCTATGGAACAGACCACACCACACAGCTGGAAGAAAACAGCTCTTGTGGGGCAGCCAACCCCAGGAGAAGCTCTACCCACAGCTCTTCCTTTGATCTCTTGCACTGGAATTCACCTTCTGATCTTTACCACGGCTCTCCCGAAGGCCATGTGACAATCTATTTCCTCCCAGTGTTGCTCTGTCACTGACACAGGGACAGCCCTGAATTGCTGGTGATGAGGGGAAGCTGGTGTCCAACCTGCCAATCCTGGCTGCAAAGGCCTTGGGTGTCACCCAGACCTCCACCTCAGCTTCATCCTTCCTGTCTGATCTGGTGTGAGGGGAGCCCTGTGATGGCTGCATGGCTGCTCTGAGACAAGCTGAGCAGCCCCACTGACCTGCTGTGCTAGCTGCAGATGGTGAGAGCAGGAACTCCTTGATCAGGGAATCAGCCTGAGGCTGGAATGCTGCAAGTGGAGTTGAGTGAGCTACGCTCAGCCATTGCAGACACTCTGCTGTGTACAGGGGCCTCAGACTGGCAGCAGAGCCACCCGCAGTAACTCCCTGGAAACAGGTACAGTACAGACCAAAGCCTGTTCCTGACAGGTCTGCTCCAGGCAGTGACAGATCCTGCCACCACCAACAGTTCCATGAGCTGGGAGAGCTTTTGTGGAACCACGGAATGACAGACTGGTTTGTGTTGGAAAGGAGCTTAAAGCTCATCCAGCTCCAACCCCTGCCATGGGCAGGGACCCCTTCCACTGGAGCAGCTTGCTCCAAGCCCCTGTGTCCAACCTGGCCTTGAGCACTGCCAGGGATGGGGCAGCCACAGCTTCTCTGGGCACCCTGTGCCAGCGCCTCAGCACCCTCACAGGGAAGAGCTTCTGCCTAAGAGCTTATCTCAGTCTCCCCTCTGGCAGGTTCAAGCCATTCCCCTTGGCCTGTCCCTACAGGCCCTTGTCCAATGCTGCTCTCCAGGTTTCCTGTAGCCCCTTTAGGCAGTTGGAGCTGCTCTAAGGTTTCCCCTTAAGGAGCCTTCTCCAGGCTGGACAAGGCTGACTCTCCCGAGTATCTGATGAGCATCCCATTCCTCGCCTCTCCCTGCTGCCTGGCAAACGCTGCTGAGCGTTCCCCCTTCCATTCCCCACCAGCGTCGTCACCTTCCGGATAGAAACAGGGGTTCAGGCTCACTGGGACACCCCACAGCGCAGGCAGCAGGCACTGGAGGGACCTTCAGCCCTACCTGGGGATTAACGATGGTGTCGGCCTCGTCCAGCCGGATGTTGTCATCGATGAAGATGTGGTGAATGCTGGGATCGTGGGGGTCAATCCACAGGGGTTTCCCACCCCGGGAGGAGAACTGATTTCTGGCCCACCTGGAACAGGGAGCAGGACAAGGAGCAGTCAGGGAGGGAGAGGGGAACAGCTCTCTGGTAAAGGCAGGTCAGGTACAACAACAGAGACCATCCTGTCCCTCTGCCTCCTCCTGCTTCCTGGGAAGGGGACATTTTGCAGCAAGGTGACAAATCGGGGGGGGGTTGGAGAAAAGCAGGAGGTAAACTAAGGCCTGACAAAAGATTATGAGCCCCATCAGGCTGCCCACAGGCAAAGTGGGGAGCATGCAAGTGATAGGGCCCCCAACAGTGTAAAGACCTCAAAACTCAGAGCTATCCCAGAGCAGGAGAAGCTCCGAGAATTGCAGGAGAGAAGAAACCTCAGTGCCCTGTTTCTCACCAGTCAAAGTGGTCTTGGAAGCCGCCAATTCCCTCAAAGGAGCTGAAGTAGTTGTAAAGCTTTCTTGCACCCTCCCGGGTGGTCAGGCGCTCGGCTCCCCTTGTCAGCACCACCTCCCGCTTGCTGCAGCGTATCTGCCCAGGGGTGAGGTCCACAGGGAGCTGCAGGACCACAGAGAGCGGGAGAGGAGAGGTTGCCAAAGCAGACAGGTTGGTTGGTGCATTGGGGGCTCTCCACCAGCACAGCATGGGAGGATGCTGCTGGGGACAAAACAACAGGAAGTGTGGACCCCCCCAGCCAAAACTCGTCTGCCTTGGGATGGGAGGGAATGACCTTGCTGCACACTGCCCATGGTTCAGTCTCTGTTCCCTAAGAATACTCCAACGAACAACTGAGGCAGCTTCCAAAGCTTGCTCCCAGCATTCCTGCTGGTGTGCTGCCAGGGGGAGAGCATGGCTGTGATCAGCTCCACTGCAACAGCCCCTCTCCAAGAGAAGGGGTGCTCTATCCAACTTGGGATACCCCAAGAGGAGACCCTTCCCAGCAGGATCCATACACACACGTGCTTCCTACTGCTGACATCTCCATCCCAAGAAGCTGCTGCGTTCCCTCCCTGGTGTTTTAAACAGCGAAGCCAGCCAAGTGTCAGCAGAGCATCCCAGCCCAGGGATCCGTGCCCTCGGGTACCACTCACCGCCACGTCCCGCAACGCAGGGAACTGCGGGTGCTGCCCCTGCAGGGCACAGCTGACAGCGCGGAGGACACGGGGCAGGTCAGTGCCGAACGTCCTGAAGATGACAGCGAAGGCCCGCCCGTCCCGGTGCAGGGCATCCAGCAGGCGGAGGAAGGAGGGGAGCAGGAGGTGGTAGCGCTTGCCGGGGTCCCCCTGCACCGAGAGCCCCTCGTGCGGCCGGCCCGGCCACTCCAGCAGCTGCAGGTGGCGGGCGTGGAGGCTGCGGAACCGCTGGCCCGAGCCCCTCTCCGTGAACGCGGGGTCCCGGCCGTGGTGGCTGTAGTAGCTGAGGGCACCGGGGCACGGCGGGCGCAGGGACGGGCGGTCACTTACCCACTGCCACTCGCCTGCAAGAGAAGGGGGGGCTCAGCCGCTTCTCGATCCCCGGTCCTCACAAGCCCCGGTTCCCCGGTGCTCACCGGCGGCGTCGGCGCGGCCCCAGGTGACGGTGCAGAGGAAGCTGTTGAGGGCCGCCCTCGGGCCCTGCCCCGACACCGTGTCCCCCACCACCACCGTGTTGTTGAGATCCACGTGAAGCACCAGCCGCCGGCCAGATCCGCTGCTCATCTCCCCGGCACCGGCACCGGTACCGGTACCGGCCACGCCGCCGTTACCTGGAAACGGAGCCGCTTCCGCCCGCGCCTCTTCCTCCCGCAAGCGCCCCCTGCCGGCCCGGAGGTGGGGCCCCACCGCCCGCCACCGGCGTGTGACCGCCGTTACCATGGAGACTGAGGGGGGCGTGTCCCCGGTGAGCGGAAGCGGAAGGGGGCGGTGGTTCCGGCGCTCCGCGGGCGGCCATGTTGGAGCGGCGGTCGCGGCGTATCGGCGGGTCTGGCGGCTGCCGGTAGGTTGAGGCCGGCGGTGCCCGGGCCCCGCGCTCCCGGGCGGGGGCGCTGCCGAGCCGGCGGCCCCGGGAGCGCGGGGCGGAGCCGCGGAGCCCCGCCCCGGCCCCCGCTTCCTCCTTCCCTCCCCTCCCCTCCTCACCCCCCCGGCCGCAGCTGGCGCGGGCCGCACCCGCTGTGTGCACCAAGCACGTCCCCGCAGCACCGAGCAGCGCGGCTCGATCCGTGCCGCGGTTCCTTCGGCTTCGGTGCTACCGGCGGCTCGTCCGGACCGCGCCTGGGGATGGGGGCGTGCGGGACACGCGGTCGGGAACGGGCATCGCCTCCGCCGGGGGGGTCAAGGGGAGAGGCTGGATCCCCGGGTGCCCCCAGCCAGCACCAGCCCGGAGCACCTTGGAGTCACCGCGGGGCCCGTCCCTAGAGCTCCGTGCCCGCACAGCCGGGCCTTAACCCCGCGCTGGCACCGTGGGGCAGTGGCCTCAAGGCGCTCCACCAGGGCTCGTCCTTCCGGTAGTGGCTCAGGTGAGGGCGCTTGGTGTTGGGTGGGCATCGGGGCTGAGCCTGCCCGTGAGCAGCTTTGCTCCAGCTGCAGCTTGGGCTGCACAAAACACGACCAAGCGGAGTGATGCTGAGCGATCCTGGCCCCATGGGTGTCACCGCCTGTGTCCAACATCTGAGTGTCCCTTATGGTGTCCCAGCTGCTCCTGAAGAAGATCCATTCTGCAGCCCGTTGTTCCTTGTGCTTCTCCCTCTCTACCAGATCAGGATTAAGCTTTACACCCTGTTGGCTTCTCCTGTTCCCTGTGGAGGCGGCAAATCTCACCTTTGGCTGTGACACCGGCTGGGGCCCTGTTGGTTCCCTGCCTGCCTGCCCTCTGCCGTGGGAGAATCCCTGCATTATCCTCCTCCAAATCCCTGTGACGTCCACAGAGCACTTGACTGGGATTAGCGTGTCATGTGGAGGCTCTTACCCACTGCTGACCTGTGCTTCCCCTTCTGCCGCTCCTTTGGCTTCTGACCCTTCCCTGCCTGTGCCGCTGGTGGCCGCTCCGGGGCCGGTATTCCCAGAGGTCCATGGGGAGCACTGGATATGATCCATTCCTTTCTCTGCTCAGGCACGAACTTCTCCATCACAGCTTTGTTGCCTGCACAGTGCCCTCTCTCATAGTGTCTCTGACACCTTCCCTGTTTCCCTGAAAAGAGGTTTTCACCAAATCCTTGTTTTTTTCAGAGGTATCGTTGAAACTGAAGGTTTTATAACTTCAGTGGAGCTGGTGAGGCCACCAGCTCGGTGTGAGAGGATCAGAGGCCTCCTGGGTGCATCTCTGGCCTCCTCTTCAGTGCCTGTTGTGTATTTGCACCAATAACCAGCTCTTTTTCCCCAGGCAGGCAGCTGTGCAGTGCCCTGAGCATGATCCCAGTGTTTTCCCTCAGCCCATTGTACACTAGGCCCTGGTAATGTGTGTTTCCTTCTCACCGCCCTGCTTGAGTTTCCTGCTTCCTGCTCCCTTGGCAGTGAGTGCCCCTGGATCAACACCAGTTTGCTGACAGTGAGTTGCAGACCGTTGTTCAAACAAGAGAGCAGCAAGGAGCGGTGCTGCCTCACCACAGCCTTTGGCATTGACAAAGCTCAGCTGAAAGAGCCTCCAGCCCTCCTGTCAGGTCTCCAGGAGGATGCTGCAGCTTTGGCAGGGACTCAGAATCAATATGTGAGCAGAATCTGTTGGGAAGCTGGAAAACTGAATGTGATGCCAGGATAGATTTGAGGTGCTCAGGCTTGTTAGCATTGGGATGGCTCCATCGTGGTGTTCTCAGTGAGGGTTCAGTTCTCGGGGCTTCTTTACCGAAGGAAAATGAGATCTGGTTACTCAGAGCTGGGGTGTGCCAAGCTCAAAGCAGGAACAAGCTGCAGAGTTTACTGCATTAACCGTTGGAACCCTTTATCCTGGGCTGGGTTGGATGGGATTGCCTGAAATCCTGGTTTAGGGTTGAGGATATATTCAGGATGATTTGGTGACAGGATTTTCTTGATGATGCTTCGAATGTGGGTGATGCCCAGAATCTGACCTGATGTCTGTGAGTGGCCATACCCGGCTTAACAGTTTCAGGTTCCTGCTTAAAACCACGAGCTGATTTCAATTGCTGTGAGCTAACTATCTTCTCTCTCCTTTTGAGGTGTCAACAGTTGTTTTCCCAGTAATTTGGACCTTTCCAAAGCGCCCGCTTGCCTAATGCCATGAATATTGCAGTGAACAATGTGGAAGAAAAAGCCGTCCATTCCTGGTCAAGAATTTCTTCTGCAGGACAGAAAGTGCTGGAGGAAGCCCTCCGAGTCTTCAACCCCATGTCCAAGGACCTTTCAGACACAGAGACCCAGCTGGTGGCCTTCATTCAGAGCCTGAAGGAGGAGGGCTACCAGCCCACCATTCTGAGGAGTAAGGATGTGTATGGGTACAGCTCGTGCACGGCGGACACACCGACTCAGACAAAAGAGAGCAGTCCCCAGCACTGTGCCAGCACTACCAAGAGTCCAACCAGGAACACCACAGCCATGGCAAAGGTGCCTGCAGAGCCCACCACCGTGCCAGTGAACTCTCTGAAAGTCTCCACTCAACCTGTCCCGAAAGGGGATTCCACAAATCTCCTCTTGAGCTCCTTGAAGCAGACAAAATCCAGCACATCCAAGGCTGCAGCAGTGGGCTTCCCTACGAACGTGTATCCGGATGTGTATCCAGCCATGAGACTGTCGGTAGTTCTAGAAGCTCTGGTGCCACTGAAAGCCACCCCATCCTGTTTGGGGTCCAAGTACACACGAGGGCGTCTTGGGATCTCGCCCTCGGATCTTCAGCTCCTCAAGGCTTCGAGTCCCGCAAGGAAGTTTCCTTCAGGCAAAGCAGCCAAACTAACCAAGGGTAAGGGCTACAAGCGCTTGGTAAAGAAAGCACCGGATTCTGCCACCCTGGCTTTAAATCTCCTGAAGGGACCAAAGGGTGGAGTGCTGCAGGAGAGCAACGCTTGCAAAGCCTCCGGAGTCCTCAACGGGAGAGTCACAGGCAGCTCGTCCCAGGGCTGCACTGCAACACCACAGGCCAAGACCTTGAAAATCAAAGATAAGGAAGCTCTGGTGGGGAAAACAGAGTGGAAGGACAGCAGCACCTACCGGGAGGGCACTGGGCAGAAGAAGAGAAGAGCCACAGAGGCGAGGGATGCACCACAGAGGAAAAAAGCAAACACCATTCCTGCCCGAAACAAACCCCGCCGAGCTCAGAGCGCTTTGAACCTGCTGAAATTCCGGGCCATCAAGGTGGGCAACTCTTCCTCTGACGAGGAAATGAGGAAGAGAGCACAGAAGATTCTTAGGGTCAACCTGTCCCCCGTGATCCGAATTCAGCCCTTGTCCCATGCTCACAGCGTCCCCTGAGGGTCTTCACTTTGTCACTTTCTCCTTTTGTAAGTAAGTAAATACGAGCCCAACACCAGAGCATGGAGAGGTTGGAGACTGGAGCTCTGGTGCCTGGGGGTGACCTGTTCACTGACCTGCAGACAGATCAGCTTGCTCCCATGCTGCTCCTGCCTCGTCTGCTCTGCAGAGCTGACTGCAGAAGCACAAGGACCCATTGGGGATGATGCCACAAGCCCAGCAGGTCGGGGGGCTCGCTTCTCACCTCAGGACATGGCAGGCTGAGCTTTCGTGCAGGGGGAGGACACGAGACTTTCTCATGACATTGATGCACTGTGATATTGCTCTTTTTCAAGCTGTACATTTACTGGGTTTATTTTGGTCAAATTTTATAACTTTATTATCTATATATCTATATATCCATATATGTGCACATGGCCCAGGAGCTGTGGGAAGATGCATTCCCTCCATCCCTCTGGGATTGGGTTTGATAGCTTTTGTTCCCCTTCAGCCAGTGTTTTGTTGGAAGGTGCCAGGATTTCTCTGTGATCCAGTGTTGTGACAGCTTGTTCTGGGCTCTGCTGAGCAGCCCAGAGACAGGCAGAGCTGTAGCCACTTGTTTGCCTCCAGAAATGCCAAGCAATTTGGAGAATTACCAGCTCATCACTGACTATAGTTTTAATCACGGTTTTGTTATTACCTCTGCATAGGGGGGGAGTGTTATGGGGCTGTTGCCTGCAGTTCTCTAGGTGCCTCTTGTGTTTGTTGATAGCAGAAGCTCTGAATTCATGCTAGGGGTTTGCCTCCAAAGAGCGATTCCTCCTCAGCACCAGTGTTGTTCTGCTCTCCTGCACCCTGGCTGCAGCCATAGAACATGGACTGGGACTGTCAGAGCTGAGGGACTGGAGCTGTGAGCAGGAATTGTGCAGTGTCCTGCTCACCTTGTGACTGCATTGCTGGATGTTTGAGGAGCAGGTTCTAGGTAGGGAAGGCACAGGCTGCATTTGAATGTATTAGCTACATCCTGCTGTTCCCAGGCCTCGGTGGGATACTTGAGCCTGAATCAAAGCAGAAAAGCAAAAGATTTGACAGAACTGATGCCAGCAATTAAACAGATTGTTCCTCTCTGTCGGTTTGCGGGGTGAAGCAGTAGGAGGGGAGATCAGCACCGTGTTGTGACGGGTGGCAGCTTTGCTGCGCCATCTGGGACGTTGTGAGGAGGTGTGTGCCAGGTGTGAAAGCTCCCGGAGCGCATCCCCAGGAGGAACTGTGGAACCTCCTGCACCGTGGGCATGCTCTGGGATGCTGTTGGATGCTGTGGGATGCTCTGTCATGTGAACACAGGCTGTGCGGTGGCAGAGGCCGGGTGTGCTCTCCGCAGGGAGGGATCTGCGAGCTCTAGGAGGGACATCACATTGGAGCAGTAGGTGCTGTCACTGTCACCTGGGAGGCACTGTCCCTAGTGAGGTGATCTGCGTCAGGAGGTTGCAGAAGCAGAACCTGATGGCTCGGAGAGAGGAGGCAGCATCAGGCCAGGCTCTGCAGCACTGGCCCAGTAATCCACTCACCAGCTCCAAATACCAATTATCTGATGTATTAATCTCTGTGGACATTGGCTGAAGGGATGAGCTCCAGCTCCTCACGTTCCAGCCTCTCCCTAGCACCTGGCTGCGTTTCAGTGCTTTGTAAAAGGGGTCAGTGTCTGATCGGAAAACCTTGGCACAGAGAGGAGAGAGGAGGTGGATGAGTGCCCCGAGGTTCTCCCTCCTCACCCAGGTACACCAGGGTGCAGGTTCTCCCTCGGGGTCTGATTTCAGGCCCTGAATCCCATGCTTGGGCTCCGTGTGGTTGTGCTGCGTTGCTGTCAGAGCTCATCACTTGCAGTGGTTGGGACTGACCTGTGAATGCCGCTGGTTGGCTGTGGACAAGGAGGAAATATTTACTTCTGTGGTTTGAAATGCCCTGGCCGAGAGTTCCGTGTCCTGACGTGGTGCTGGATGAACAGGGACCTTCTGTCACTGTTAACCGGCCAAAAATTGCTTTGTCCCTTTTGCTCCCGCTCCTTCAGACCTTGCTTATTCCCACGCTCCCAAATGCCAGCTCTGGAGGTCTTGCACTGTGGTTTCTCGTTTTGGCTGTTCCTGAGGAGTGCTCTGAGCTCCTGCCTGTGGTATCGCTGCCTCCCAGGCTGCTCAGCAGCTTCCCTCTTCCCAGCCCCTTATAAGGACACCGAGCGCTGCCTCTGGAGCCTCTTCATGCAGCACAGCCATCCCAGCCCGGCCTCTGGTGGGAAAACAACCCTGCATCCACTAGGCTGATTCGGGTTGAGCTTTTCCTCCAGCCTGAGCAGGAAGCTGAGCACCTGAGGCCATATCCCTCCTCTTCGTGGTCTCTCTTCCCCCAGCTGCACTGCTGCCTGCCTCCCCGCTCTCCTCCATCACCTCTTGCCTTTCACAGCTTGGGCTTTTGCCAGGCAGGGACTTGGCTTGTGCTGTTGCTTAACACATCCAAGGGAACATCCTGCCTTAGTGCTGCCATACCTTTCCCAGCACTGAGCTCAGTTCTGCAAATGCTTGGTGGTAATGTCCTTCCCCGGCCAGCAGCAGGAGGTGTTCTGCTCCACAGGGAGAGATGAGGATGAGAAACACTTCTGTGCCACTGAGGCTGCTGTAAGGGAAGCAAGCACACCATGCAGTGCTCCAGGACTTGCCCATCACCAGTCCAGTCTCTGTCAGCCCTTCTGTGTATCTTTTAACAGGCTGCAGGGCCCTGTGCTACTGGGCAGCACTGGAGCTCGATGCTTTGCCCTCCTCCTGCCTCCTCTTTCCCCTTGCAGGTAATTTGGGAACTTGGTTGGAAGGATTCCAGTCTAGATTCTAGATTCTTCTAATGGAAGGTGTCCCATGGCAGGGGTTGGGACTGGATGAGCTTTAAGGTTCCTCCCAGCCCAAACCAGTCTGTGATTCTCTGATTGCAGCTTGTTATTCAGAGGGGCATTACAGCCCCTGGCACCAGTGCCATCAACTGCTGCCTGTCCAGTGCAGGCAGATGCGTGCCTGCAGCCTGTCAGTGGTTGGCTCCAGGGTCCTTCACTCTTGGCATGGTCTGGGTGCTCCTGGAGTCCTGGACCTTCAACACCGATGTGCAAGAGGCTGTCTAAGACCTGGTCTAGCCAGAGCTATCCCTTCCACCCTGTTACCCTGTGACAGCAGCCCTGCCTTCCAGGGCCCAGCACAGCAGGGCAGGGCACACAGAAACGCGTTGCCTGGGGTGCTGTGGTCTCTGCTGCGTGCAGGTTGTTCAGACCTGTTTCTGTATTAGTCACTTTGAATTCATCCAAGTGCCTAACCTGGCCTGTGCTGTTCCTGGGCACTGTGACAGCCGAGAGAGCTTTGGAAGCTCTCTTAGGAATGCTCTCACTGCATGGATTTGTGCCACCGTCACTTCTAGATGCGCTTCAGCCAGTGCTCAGAGGGCTGCTCGTCCAGCTGATGGTTTGGGGAATCGTTTTTCCTTTTATCCAGCTGCCAAGAGCCACGAGTTTGTGCTTCGCCTCAACCAGACAAGGTCCTGAAGCTTCCTGCGTGCCTCAGATGTCCGTGGGGAGAGCAGCTCGCCCTGCAGGCGCTATGGGGATGCTGACATCGGATACCACTTGAAATCACATTGTTAATTGGTAGCAGCGTTCTGAAGCTCATGTCCACTCTGATCATGTTTCACCATCTGCCACCGCTTGGACTTGGAGAAGTTTCCCCTTGGCCTCTTCCCTGTGAGCCAGCCAGTGTGCTGTTGCTGCTGCTGCTGCTGCTGCTTCCAGCCTGGTTGGTCCCCCCCCACCTCCAGAGCCAGCTTGTACAGAATTCCTTAAGTACTTTTCTGCAAAATAAGGGATTATTTTGTTATTCCTGGTTTGTAGCCCCATAGTGGTGTTCCAGTGTGAGGAGGAAGAGGAGGGGTTGTGCTGCCCTCATACACCAGCAGCTCTTCTCCACCAGTGGAACTGGTGCAAGACTCCCAGCTCCTGCTATGTCTGGAGGGCTTTGGGTTTTGGGCTTGTGGGCAGAGCTTGGGCCCTTTCAGTTGACTCCTGCTGTGTTCATGGCCAGACCTTGCCAGCCTGGTGGAGGTGCAGCCACTCCGGTTGTTCTCTCACTTTGGGTCCAAGTTCCCTGCACTGTGTGGGAGCTTGTACAAGGGATGTGTGGGGATGCAGACCAGGTTTGTGCCTCAGCTTCCCAGAAGCTGAGCATGGGAGGATCCTTGTTTTAAGCATGGTAGGCAGGGTCGTGCTGGGCTATGTGTGGTGCTTGCTGCTCAAGCAGGTTGGTTTGTGTGGAATCCACAGTTCCTGTTTCACTCCTCAAAGGGGCTCTGTCCCATTTGCTCCCGTGCTCAGATGGGGATAGTGCCATGGGGCACCTCGCACCTTCCTGACAGGGGTGCAGTGCTTGGCTTTGGGCGCTGGATGGGCTGGCACCACCCCTGGAGAGGGCAGCAGGGCAGGCTGCTCCCAGGCCCTGGTGTTGAGGACTCACAGAGAGCACCAAGATCATGTTTCCCTCTTCTTGCAGCCCATTCCTGCTGTTGGGAAGGTGCCGGGGGCCTCGCTGGCTGGCGGAGCAGGGATCTGCCCCCAGAAGGCAGGACAGCCACCACTAGGGCAGGGTGCTGAGTGAAGGGGTGTCCGGATGTGTGACACTGGCAGCTTGGGCAGCTCCAAAGCCGTGGTGCTAAGGCCAGATCCCTCTCTTCGCTTAGGAACACCAAGGAGATGTGGCAAAGCGAGAAGCTGGGATCCAGGAAAGCCAAAGACACCAGCAACTTCTGCTTCTGCTGCAGCAGGGGATGTGCAAACAGGAGCCAGGTCTGCAGTGTGCCCTAGCCCTGCCTCCATTCCCCCTGCTGCAGGAGCCTGTCCTGCCCTGCCGGGCAGCACTGCACAGGCTCTGGAGGTGCCCTTTTGAGGCAGGTGCCCCCTGCCAACCCTTGGCTTCTGTCCTTCATCGGTCACACAGGCTGTCCCTAATGGGGTGGCCGTGGGGAAGGTGAGAGATGCAGACCTGTACCCCTGGGACACCCTCATGGGGGACAGCAGTTCTCTGGTGAGCATCCCAAACACCTTCCCCTGGGGGGGGGATGATTAGACCTTGCCCTGGGGAGTCCCTTAAAGGCCTTATTATCACCTGGGGCTCTCCTTGTCTTAATTCACCCTTTCCCTCCCTGTGAGAGTCCAGTGATTCCCACACATCTGCCCAGGCACGTGGTGCTGTTGTGAAGAGAAGGTGCTGCAGAATACCTCCCCTGCTCCACCATCCTGCCGGGATGGGATGGGATGGGATGGGATGGGATGAGCATCGGTGGTGTGGTGGGGACTCATGGTGTGCGATGCCGTTGCCTCCTCCTGGCTCCCAGTGCAGCATTCCCAAGGAGCAGCACTTCCCAAGCAGAGCCACAGCAGCCGCTCTGGATGGGCACTGCCGGATCCCTCGCCCTCATCTCTACCAACCCTCATCTCTTAAGAGAGCCTCCTCCACGACCTGCTCAGGCTGGGACCGGTGCCACCGGCACGTTTGCAGCATCCTCCGGCATTCCGGGATCCTGGTGACATCCATGGAGCAGCACCTGCAGCCTGTGGGAGGGCGAGGACCAGACTGTTAACGTGGTGGAGCTCCAACAAGTGACCATCTTGTTCTCGAGTGAACTTTTCCCTGTTCTCATTTGTTGGTGTAGAATGTTGCCGAAGCTATAGTACTATTTAATGTTGAGTCTGAGGCGGGGCGGCTCCATGATCCGTGTTGTATAGTTTGGAATGGCATTGTTTAGTGAGAAGACAGTATTATTCCACTCTTTGGAGGGAATGGGACAAGAAACAGACTGTCTTTTTCTTTTCTCTTAAATGAAGTGAGCTTTTTGTTCTCAAGTCCCAGCAGGTGGCCAGCCCCTCAGTAAAATGGTGCTCACAACCACCCAGCGTGTCCAGCTTTCCTTTTGGCTTCCTGGAGCTCCATGGAATGGCATCTCCCATGTGGGATGTGCCCAGCTGCAGACCACCACTGCCTCTTCTCCCCAGCTCCCCCCCCCCCGAGGGGTTTGGGGTACCCAAGGCCCACTAAGGAATGCCTGGCTCGGGATGGGAAGTGCTCCTAGCGCTGAACTGGTTTTAACTGGCATAAATCCGCATTCCAGGTTAGTTCCTGCCCACCCGCTGACTTCGCTCTGGATCCCCTTCTCCAGCCGGGATGCTGGGGCTGGCGGGTTCAACAGAGGAGCCATTGTTCCCCCGTGGTGATGCGGACCCGGTGCGAGCCGTGGGTGCGCTGAGCCAGCACTAACGGTGCCGGTGCCGGGGCTGGGGCAGGGAAGCGGTTAAAGCGGCGCTGCAGGATGTGCAGGGAAGCGCCGGCTGCCCGCTGGGAGCACTGATGTCGTTCCAAGCGGTGCTGGCTGGGCCTGAGACACTGCCCCGGGAGCTCGGGGGCTCTGCTGAGGGTTGTGGAGCAGGGGCTGGGGATGCTCAGCAGCTTTGAAGCGCCGGTGACAAGGGTGCTGGTGATGGGGGCTGGCACATCAACCAGCACAGCTCCCACACGGTCATCCCTGGGATCGCAGCTCCGCATGGGAAGTGGCCTTCAGGGGAGCCAGGAGGTGCCTGGGCATGGCCAGGACACCTCAGTTGTCCCTCAGCTCCCACTGAGGATCCCTCCCTCCTGCTTTTGCCTCGCTTTTCAAGGCTGCAGATCCTGTGGCTGCCACCTTTATCAGGTCACTTCAGATCTCCTCAGAGCAGATAAGGGTTGCTTGGCCAAGATCCCTGCGCTACAGACACCATGTCCAGTGCTAATGGCTCTTTATCAGCTCATCCCCTGCCAGCTCTCAGCCCTGGAGGTGGTGGAGCCTCCCTGGGCACCGACCTGCAGAGAGTGCAGCCATAGGGAGCTGCCTGGGCTCTCCCACAGCTCCCCTTGTCCCACGGTGCTTTTGGGGTGTCCCTGGTGGCCCCGGTTTGGCACCCGCATGGCCGGCAGCCAGGGGAGCTGCAGCTTGGCCTGCCCATGACCTCGCTGGCTGGTGGGCAGCCAGAGCACGGCCTTGGTGTGGGGAACACGCAGCTCCTCTTCCTTCCTTCGGCCTCGGCTGAGGAAAGGCACCATCCCTGTGTGATAGGGAGGTCTCCATCCAGCCCCACCGATCCCATGGAGCACTGATCAGCACGGGGTAAGTGGGGCACGGTGGTACCCATGGAGGCAACGGGGAGCAGGCTCCACGTGCCTGGGCACGGCAGCCCTGCAGGGATGCTCCGCAGGCTCCTGGCCACCGGCTCGTACCTGGCCTGTGCCTCACCTTGGCTGCGGCTCGGAGCAGGCAGGTCCCTCCCTCGCCTGGCACAGCAGCGGAGGAGGAGACAGGCACCGGCCGCCCTCCTCCAGGAACAGCAGCGAGCTTGGCTGGAGCCAGCGGGGCCGAGCTGCTCACCTCCAACCTGCACAGCACAACCGGGCCACCCCACACACACCCCATGGGCACAGGTAGGAGCCATGGACAGAGGCCGGGTGCCAGCGCTCGGGTCCTATGGGAGGAACAGGCTGGATCCTCGTGCTCCAGCACTGCCTGCACTGGGGCTGGCGGTGCCGGACTTTGCCCACGGGGAGGGAGTGGGTCCGTAGGGGCAGACGTTCCCCGTTGGCAGCGGGTGAGCTCCGTTGTGGCTCCACCCCGCAGCCAACCTGCGCTGGTGCTTCCCCCATGGCCCGTGCCCCGGTGGGGCAGAGCACGGGGCCGCAGGCCCTGGCACAGCCCCGTGGGCCGGTTCCCGGTGCCCATCCCGCCGTGCGAGCCGCGGCAGGCACGTTCCTGCTGCTCTATGCCGGGAGCCCCGGGAACGCGGCGCCGTCGGCTCCCCTTGGCACACGAGGCTCCCCATTGTTGAGCATTGGGGCCCACTGTGGTGCCCGGGGCTGCCGACGCCTGTCCGGGCGGGCAGCGGGGGCCTCCAGGCAGAAGGAATCGGCAGTGACATTCCCGTAGCCTGGAGACCGCCGTCCCTTTCAGCGGGCAGCCCATTTGAATAAGAATCACCGTGCGCACGGGGAAGGGGGGCCCGCCGGCCGCGCCATCCCATCCCATCCCATCACCGCCGCTGCTGGTCCCTGCCCGCCCAGCCCTTGCCCCTGGCCTTGGCCTCGCCGGACGCCGCAGGACAGCAGGTACCGGGTGATGGGGCTCAGGGACCCCCGCAGCACCGCACCAAGAGCCCCAGCCCCGCGCTGGCTCCCGCACGGGGACAGGAACGCTGCGTTTGGGCAGCCAGGCTTTGATCCAGCGGGTGGGAGCGGGCGGCACCGCCGAGGAGGGAGCACAAAAGGCAGCTCCAGCCTAAAGGCAATAGCGGGAGCCTGGCCAGCGGCGGGGATGCTGCTGCCCGGATGGCTCCGGTGCTCTTGGCGCCCATCCCAGGCTGGCCCTGGGGACCCCCCAGGGATACCAATGACACTGGGAGGAGGGATGGATGGGGCAAGGCACAGCCCTTGTGGGGTCTGGGGGTGCAGGAATGGCCGTGTGCTGGGGTCTGTGTGAGGGATGGGGCACGGCCATGGGGGGGATAACACCACACTACACTGGGGGAGTTGGGAACCCAACTTTCCCACCTGATCCCACTTCCCAGTGCTGTCCCTGGTGCATCTCCGTGCTGGAGCTGGGAGAAGCCAGGCAGCAGTTGCCGTACCCTGTACCCCACCATAGTGTCTCTGTGTTCCCCCCAGGCAGAGCCCATGGACCTCTTGGCACTCATTCTCCTCCTGGGTAAGCACCAAGCATGGCCGAGCATCCCATGTACCCCGGTGTGGTGGTGCAGGGACCCCAGCCCGGGCAGTGGAGTCAGTGGCAACGCTCCCTGGCCCTGGAGGCCACAAATCCCATTGGGAATCTGAGCCCTGGTGGGATTAGCGAGCGCCTGACCCGGCTGCCGACTGCCCCCGGCACCGCGCGGCATCCCCTGGTCACGAGGCCCCGGCGCTGCTGCCAGCACCTTTCCGGATCACGGAGCTTTGTGCTGCATCAGGGGGTTGGGATGCGGGGCCGGGCCTGCATGGGGCAGCCTGGGGTGGGAGGGTGCTGGGTAGCATCAGGGTGCACAGACAGGAGGTACCCCAAGGCCTTGTGCTCTCTGCAGCGGGGGTAGCACCGGCGTGGGGACAGCAGGAGCCTGACCCCAGCTACGGATGTGCCCGCGGGAGCTGCTACCCGGCCACCGGGAACCTGCTGGTGGGAAGAGCCCCTCTCCTGAGCGCCACCTCCACGTGTGGGATGCAGGGCCCGCAGGAGTACTGCATCGTCAGCCACCTCCAGGTGAGGCCCTGCATGGCTCCAGCGTGGCTTTGGCGCAGCCGGGGCCCCTGAACCCATCCAACTGTGCTGCTCCTGGTGCAGGACTCGGAGAAGTGCTTCACCTGCGACTCGCGGGACCCATCCCTGCCCCAGAGCCACCGCATCGAGAACGTCATCTTCCTGAGCGGCCCCAGCGCCGGGCGCACGTGGTGGCAGTCCGAGAACGGTGAGTCCGCGGCGGCAGCGGCCTCAGGGCTGCGGCTCTGTGCTGTGCCAAGGGGCTGCATGGCCACGGGACCCTCGGCCATTCACCTCTGGGGCATCCCCAGGCGTGGAGCACGTCAGCATCCAGCTGGACCTGGAGGCTGAGTTCCACTTCACACACCTCATCATGAAGTTTAAGGTGGGTATCAGTACCTTCTGATGGGATGGGATGGGATGGGATGGGATGGGATGGGATGGGATGGGATGGGATGGGATGGACCCAGGTCCATGTTGTGTACCCCGCAGACGTTCCGGCCCGCGGCCATGCTGGTGGAGCGCTCGGCCGACTTCGGGCGCAGCTGGAAGGTCTATCGATACTTTGCCTACAACTGCTCCAAGCTCTTCCCCGGCATTCCTGATCAGCCCTCGGGGCTGGTGGATGAGGTGCTGTGTGACCAGCGCTACTCCGAGATTGAGCCCTCCAGCCATGGGGAGGTGTGTGGGTACAGAGGGGATCTATGGGGTGCTGGGTGTCTATGGGGTCTGGGATCACCTCTCCCCTTCCTCCTCCCAGGTCATCTTCAAGGTGCTGGACCCCTCCATCCCAGTGGCGGATCCCTACAGCCCGGACATCCAGGGTGCGTGTCCGGGGGGTGCCAGTGTAGGTGGGTGCCAGGGTGGGTGCTGATGGTGCCACCAATCCCCCCCCCAGACCTGCTGCGCGTCACCAACCTGCGCATGAACCTCACCAAGCTGCACACGCTGGGGGACAACCTGCTGGACACGCGGCGCGAGGTGCTGCACAAGTACTACTATGCTGTGGACGAGCTGGTGCTGCGCGGGAGCTGCTTCTGCCATGGGCACGCTGCCCAATGCGCGCCGGCACCCGGTGCCCCAGCGGCTACAGCACCCGGCATGGTGAGGCGCACACAGCACCGGTGCGGTGCCCCGTGGGGTGCAGTGGCCATGCTGAGGGGGGTGCTCGCCCCAACAGGTCCATGGGCGCTGCGTCTGCGAGCACCACACACAAGGACTGAACTGTGAGCGCTGTGAGGACTTCTACCATGACCTGCCCTGGCGCCCGGCCGAGGGCTCCAGCACCAACGCCTGCCGCAGTGAGTGACACACATGGGTGCGATGCGGTGCCCATGAGCTTGGGGTCCCATGGGCTGGGTTGGGGCAATGGGGGTCCTGCATGATGTGTGTGGAGGGTTCAGCATCCTGGGGGCCATGGCTCGGGGCTGGGAGTTGAGGGTCCCCCGTGTGATGCTTTGTAGTTGGGGTTCGGGTGTTTTGGGTGCATCCTATCGGATGCGGTGCTGGAGGTTCTGCAGGCCATGGTTTGAGGGGCTGGGATGAGGAGCTGCATCCCCATGGTTGGGGTTTGGTACCACCTGCCGTGCATGGTACCATCCCTCAGGATGTGACTGCAACGAGCACTCGCGGCGCTGCCACTTTGACATGGCCGTCTTCCTGGCCACCGGCAACACCAGCGGGGCCGTGTGTGACGGCTGCCAGCACAACACCATGGGCCGCCGCTGCCACCTCTGCAAGCCCTTCTACTACCGGCACCCGCGCTCCGACATCCGCGCCCCCACTGCCTGTGCCCGTGAGTGCCATGGGCCAACAGAGCCACAGCTCCCAGTGCCATCAGCACTGGTCCCGCACCTCCCCATGGGCTCTTTCCTTCCCGGCAGCCTGTGACTGTGACCCGGCGGGCTCGCTGGATGGAGGGGCCTGTGACGGGCACACAGACGTGGCGCTGGGCATGATCGCGGGGCAGTGCCGCTGCAAGGAGAACGTGGCCGGTCCCCGCTGCGACCGCTGCCGGCACGGCGCCTATGGGCTCAGCCATGGAGACCCCCAGGGATGCCAGCGTGAGCGGGGACACGGATGGGCAGGGGAGGATGAGGGGTGGAGGATGTGGGATGGAGCGATGACTGAGGGATGGGGATGGAGGGATGGAGATAGAGGGTTGTGGAGTGGAGGGATGTGGGATGCAGGGATATGGGAGGGAGGGCTGTTGAAGGAGGGATGATGGAAGGTTGTAGGTTGATGGATGTGGGATGGAGAGATGGGGATGAAAGGATGATGGAGGGTTGGTGATGGAGAGATGAAGATGGAGAAGTACAGATAGAGGGATATGGAATGGAGGGATGTGGAACAGAAGGATGGTGGTGGAGGGATGTGGGAAGAAGGGATGGAAATTGAGGAACGTGGAATGGAGAGATGGGGATGAAGGAACTGGGATAGTGAGATGGGGATGGAGGGGTGAGGGATGGAAGGATGCGGGTTGGGGAGGGAGGACCATGAGGCCCGTGGGCTGTGGTCCTGTGTGGCAGCCCCTCACATGTGGGTGCATACATGTGGGGGGCAGCGTGCAGGTGTGACCCACGGGGCACGGTGGCCGGCAGCTCCCCCTGCGACCCCATCAGTGGGGACTGCTACTGCAAACGCTTCGTGGCTGGGCGCTCCTGCAGCCAGTGTGTGGTGAGTGCCACAGCCTGCCCCATAGCTGCCCCATAGCTGCCCCATAGCTTGCCTCACAGCCAGCCCCACATCATCCCCCCTCTCACTGCAGCCTGAGTTCTGGGGCCTGAGCTATGACGTGGGGGGCTGCCGGCCCTGCGACTGTGACTTCGGGGGAGCCTACAGCAACCGGTGGGGCACAGGGATGGGGACAGGGCTGGGGGTCAAGTATGGGGTGAGGGAGGGATGGGGACATCATTGGAGGGATGGGAATAGGGATGTGGAGATAGAGGGGACTGAGATGTTGGGGTGGAAGGAGGGATACCCCTTCCCAGAGATGGAGGGATGGAAGCAGGGATGGGTGAGGACCGAGCTAGATAAAAGGACAGAGAGGGACAGGACGGTCACCCCCAGGTGCTCCATGGAGGACGGGGCCTGTCCCTGCCGTCCCCACCTTATGGGGCGTCAGTGCGACCAGGTACAGCCCGGCTTCTTCTGCGCCCCCCTTGACTACTACACCTATGAGGCCGAGCAGGCCGTTGGGCACAGCCATGGCCATGGCCAGCTCCCGGTGAGTATCCTGGTGGGGGGGTTCCTGTATCCCCAAACCTGGGCCGTGCCTGCATGCTCCATGCATGCCTGTCCCCATCCGCATCCACCCATTCCAACCCTGTCCCCGCAGGGGGCCATCCGTGCGGAGGCGCCCCAGGACTGCCTGGAGTACGACCCTGGGGAGCCAGGGGCACGGAGGGGCCACCCCCGGCACCAACGCAGCCCCCGCCGTGCCCCCCATCCCCGCAGCGCCCCACGCCGCAGCCGGCAGCAGCCCCCCAGGGTGAGCCCCATGGGCTGTGGGGCACGGAGGGGTGGCCGGGGGCAGCGGGGCTGAGCTGTGCCCGTGCTCTGCAGCCGGAGGTGGAGGAGGTGGTGCGGGACGGCACCGCGCACATGGTGACCTGGACGGGCTCCGGGTTCGCCCGGGTGCG